AACAGCGCCGAGTTAGCTAGTCAATTATGGTTAGCGGACACCTATGTTGTTCTACCGATGTACCATTCATAATTGAAAAGTATTATTTTTAAACTCAAGTCTATAAGTGATTTAGTGTTTTATTTGGCTAAAACCAATTGGACAATTACAGAATATTACAATAACAACTTTGCTATCGTCACACTTGAGGGATTATGACGCAACCACGAGATGCCTGCCAGAACGTTACTTTCTTAATTGACCGATAATAAAACATTATTTATTTTTTAAAATATTTTCACGCCGATACACTTGTACGCCAAAAAAGCTTTGCCTTTATACAAGGCAAGAGCAGATATCTAATCAAAGAATTGAATGTTGATAGTCTCAAATGAGACGGCTTGGTAGAAATTGATGGATCAATTATTTTAAAGATCCAAGAGACAGAGGACACAGGCCTCTAAAATGATGGTTATCTGCTTCATGTAAAATGTTTAAAGTTTTGCTATGCAGTTTTTTTTTGTTAAAAATCACATCGCAAATGCAAATAAAAACAATCCAACCGGACACCTAATTTTTAGGTTACCATTTACAATTCTCAACGGACTTCTTACGTAGTAAATCAGAAATTCCGAGTTATATGACGTAGTAAATCAGAAATTCCGAGTTGTGACGTCAGAACTATGAACTAAGAACTCGGAAGACAGATTGCACGACCGGGCTTCCGTAAATTCGTCCGATATCAGACCGCCGCCTTCTAAGAAGTTTCACTTCAATAATCACGAAACACAATGATGATAATAGTAACAAACAAAAGGGAGACGCGCATCTGTAATGACGTCACAATACTATCGGCGCTTGTCAATAATAGGCAATTCTCTTTAGGCTTATAATCTTTGGTTTGTGTCAATGTCGGCGCTTGTCAAAAATAGGCAATCCTCTTTGCGCTTATAGTCCTTGGTTTGTGTGAATCAATTGCTGTCTTTCTCCGTGAAGCGCTTTTCAAATGACTCTCCATTGTCATCCAAATATCAGAACGCCGCATAAGAAGTTTCACTTCAAAAATATAAAATTTAAGTTTTTATTTCGAATAATTATGTACAATTTAATGTACAGGGTGATTCATTAAGAATGGCACTCGGCCATATCTCAAGAACTATTCATCGTAGTCATGTCGGAAAAAAATTATCCCATAAATATGGCCAAGAGAAAATGCTGGAAATATATTTCAGCTTTCTAAAATGACCGTAAGGGGGCGTAACCCAACTGTCAAAGTACAAAAATAGTTTTATTTTTTAAATTTCAAATGGAAACGTATCTCAGAAATGCTAACAATAGATTTTTGATGAAATTTCACACAATTTTGATTCATGACTTTTTACTATAACTTATCGGATAAGACAGTTATGAGCTGTCAAATATTGCAACTTGGGAACACGAATAACTTCAAAACGACTCAACGAATTGGGTCGATCTTAGGTTCGTTGGAAAGACAAGAGTCTGTTCTTTAGTTTTATTGTAAAAAATTCCAACTTCAGTTAGTTGGACTGACTCTATGGGTGGATATTTGAAAACAATTGAATTTTTCTAATTTTTCTTGAAATTTTCAAATGGAACGGTATATTTAAGATATGTTCAATCGATTTTTGAGGATGTTTTACACAGTTTTTCTTTATTAAACCTTCCTACAAACGAATTCCAGAGAGTGTTAAATTTAATTTTATCAAAAATAATCAATATTTTTGAAAAAGCCCTCGTAAATAATGACTTTGCTTTTCTGAGAGTCGATTGTCATCATTGATGAATGTCAAATAATGGAAAAAGTGCGTTAGGAAATTATAATAGTAACTATAGTATGCAATGATCATGTAATGATAGCCATTAATACACGAGCATCTTGTAGGATACGAAACTTGAAGAAGAAATACATATTTATTTTGAGAATAGTAAACTACTCAAGTGGTGGTGCCATCTATTATTAATTTTGGAAATTAAAATCTAGACGTCATTTCCGCATAAATTCGGCACCCGCGTACTGTGGATTTATTCATTTTTCTTTCTGCTCTTTCTGTGAATACTAACAGAGATTATCCAAAACCAGTCTATTATTTTTTGTATACTTAAGCATTGTCCATTTTCAAAATAATTAGATTTTAGTGGCTGCGATTGCTGCATTTCCATTACATTCATGCAGGGGGGCTTTATTTGAAATTGATGCAACTTTGCGTACACGCAAATATGACGCAAATGACGTCATTTTCGATTGAAAAATTGCATGTCAAATAAGCCGTGCACCAATTTTCAATCCCAAATAACGTCATTTGCGTGTACGCAAAGCTGCATCAATTTCAAATAAAGCCCCCCTGAACCTCAAGGATGTCCTGTGCTTCTCCATTTGGGAAATGCATTTTGACTTTAGAAAATAGCGTTTAAATTTTCAAAAATATGTCAGCCTGACATACTTAACTGGTATCTGCTCAATTTACGGGGGCTTTTTCATAAATACTGATTATTTTTAATAAAATTAATTTTAACACTCTCTGGAATTCGTTTGTAGGAAGATATAATAAAGAAACACTATGTAAAACATCCTCAAAGATCGATTTAACATGTCTTAAATATACCGTTCCATTTGAAAATTTTAAGAAAAATCGGAAACATTCAATTGTTTTCAAATATTGACGCATAGCGTCAGTCCTACTAACCAGAACTTGAATTTTTCACAACAAAGTTAAAGAACAGACTCTTGTCTTTCCAACGAACCTAAGATCGACCAGATTTGTTGAGTCGTTTTGAAGTTCTCCGTTTTCTTGTGTTGCAATATTTGACAGCTCATAACTATCTTATCCGATAAGTTATGGTAAAAAGTCATGCATCAAAATTGTGTGAAATTTCATCAAAAATCTATTGCTAGCATTTTTGAGATACGTTTCCATTTGAAATTTAAAAAATAAAACCATTTTTGTACTTTGACAGTTGGGTTACGCCCCCTTACGGTCATTTTAGAAAGCTGAAATATATTTCCAGCATTTTCTCTTGGCCATATTTATGGGATAATTTTTTTCCGACAAGACTACGATGAATAGTTTTCGAGATATGGCCGAGTGCCATTCTTAATGAATCACCCTGTACCTAGTGATGTAATTTATATTATATGAAATTTATTCTTTAATTCCAGGGCTCTAAAACTAGAGAATAAATTCCAGTCATTTTTGAATTAAAATGTAATTAGTAATATATCGAGATTCAGATAGATTTCGATATTGAAACGAGATGAAAACAAACTTTGTTACACATTTTAATTTTTTTTTTCTCTCTCTGGGACTCTGGGTGGGTCCAGACCCCCTGGACCCCTCCGTATCTACGCCACTGTTCAAATGAGACAACTCCGAATAATCAAAAATTAAAATAAATCATAACCATTTAACTTATAGCGAGTCCGGGAGAAGCCGCAGTGTTTTCTTTACTGTATTAATTTTTGTATATTTTAATAATAATATACCTAGAAGAATATTTAGTTTGGTATGATTGTTCTGATATTCTCCGAATAGTCGCGCTAGAGTTAGACGTAAACACTTCTGGATCCAGATAATTTTCCTATACCTGATTATCAAATTTGTAACTTTTCACAGTGAGCTGATCTTTCAGCCTGCCTCCTGACTGCAGCAAAGAATATACTGCAGTCGACACCCTAACATTTTATTTTCAGGGCCTTGGATTTAAAAGGAATGTGGCGTTTTTTACTTTAGACTAGTTTCAAGCTCTACAATGAAAAAAACATTTAAAATGGCGGAACACATAAAGATTTAACAAGGTGACCACATCACGAATGGGCCGCACTGTATAAAGGGTTAGGTATTCAGTTTAGAACCTCACCATTATGAACCATACATGCATTAATTTCCATTAATTTAACGGCGTATCAAATTGGTTAATAAAGAGCAGCAGTAGGTATGGACCCTAAGCTATAATTTAAACCCACAGTATAGACCAAAATGAATTTATTATTAGTTTATTCTAGTTTACCACTGATCGCAAAAATAAATGGATAAACAATCATACGGCTTGATTGGCAAAATCTGTGCGAAAATTTGGGGTCAATATTCTACGAACAGTTGTGCAACGGAACAGCCTAACGCCTGCGCAGTGTCTTATCTTTCGAACAACTGTTCTAAATTTTGAAACATCCTTCATTTTCATTGACAATATTTTGCGCACACACAGTACATGTATCTACTGCGCACGCTCACAGCTGTCCGAGTTGTTTACTATGACCCCGTAAATTAGCAGCATTAGAAGCGTTCTTTGTTTATCCATTTATTTTTGAGATCAGTGTGGTTTACTCATTATGAAAAATATATACATATATATCTTCCAGTAGGTACTTTTTTACTTTGCAGATTTCCGAGTTTTGTGGGTTTGGAACGGATGAAAACCCAAGTTCTTAACTTAAAATCCATGCGTGGAAAAAGTTTTTACTAGATTTAAACTACTCATAAATGCAGAACTATTATTTTATTGGTCGACTTTTTTTTATAATATGGGTAATTGGCAATTGCTACTAGGTAGTCTAGGTATATACCTACCTACGAAGCTCTTATAACACAATTTTATACCAATTCAAATTTATTTGTAGTTTCCAAGATACAAATCGTAGGAAATTTAACTGAATAACCCAACTTAGACATTTACATACTGTGCCTCATTGATAAAATACTAAATGATATATAAAGTAACATTAGGTGCAAATATATGTGCCTATATACCTACATGCCACAATAGCAAGGCATACTGATGAGATCCTAAATAACAACATTAGCGAAATAACGCCATTATAATATCAAATAAAGTTTGATTTTTTTTTTCTTCAAATATCCACTAGTGGGTGCCTATAAATGCACAACCAGATTCATTATAGAAATAATCAATATACCTACTATCTGAAATTGCAGTCGTAGTCCTTGTTTAAATTCAATACAAACTTACCCATAATGATTTAGACATAAGTATTTGGTATTTACCTATCAGTTTATCTATTATCGACATTATTGTTCTATGCTAAAAATTATTTCCGCAATATTCGTGTCCCATCATGGGTGTGTAGAGCAGAGAAATCCTGGGTCGACAGAAGCAACTTTGGCTGTCAAAAATGCATGCATGCAATAAAGTAGGCTTTGTAAAATAGAACATTCTAGTTCCTGAAAATGAATATGTTTGTTTTTTATATTGCAAAATTTGTCATGGAAAGCTTACTTTGGTCTCAATAGCCTTGGTATCAATATCTTGGAAGTGAAGTTTCAGTTTCGATTTTCCGTCATCTGACGAGCCCCTTAATTGAGAAAATTTATATTGCCACGCTAGTGTTTTTGAGTCGCCTTCATGTAAAGAAAATCCTATATTCCAGTCTAATGTTAATCCCGCCGTTTTGCCGTTGCTGCTTACCGTAAATGTTTTAGTCTGGAAAAAATAGATACATTTTTATCAATTCAGTGTTTGGAGCTTGGATACTATCCTATGTTAGTTTGTTGTTTTTAAATCGTGAGAAGTACCCCTGCTCAGGTTACGGGTAATTAATTTTTGCTTTGGAAAGAAAATCAAACTTGCTATGCGATAAGATGTCTCATCCGGAAAATTGCATTATTTTAACTCACACATACTTACTAATACAATACATTCGTTGGTCAACAAAAGACAAAATATTTTAGAAACTTTTTCGTGTAGGTACCTATATGAGATCAACTTGTCAAAAATGTGCATAAAAACTTACCCCTAGCTTCATAACAGCGTTGCAAACTGAAGAATGCCAAGCATTTTCAATTCTCAAAAGCTCCTGCCTTGTTTCAACTGAAAAATATCTCGATTCCTGTCCAGATGTCTGTACAAGAAAACAATGTTGACGTTCATCAACGTTTTCAGAATCTTTTACTATCCTAAACATTGTTTGATATACTTTGAACGTTAAGGTACATTTATTCCAGTCTAATAAATTTAACTAAAAAAAAAAGTGAACAATACCAAATATATTTAGGTTTTAAAATTAAATTATGTACTTACAGGTGGTGCATCGAATAACATAAGATCAGTTCCTTTTAGAGCTAGAAACCTAGGTTTATAATTCTGCCAAGGTTGATTATTATTAAGAACGCATTCATTTACCCATCCCATATACTCTATTCGATCGGATACAATAAAATTTCTGTTATACAATTTCATCTGTAAACTTGTTAATCCAATAATATTATCGTTAATATATTTTAGCCATTGTGAAAGAATGGCGGAGTCATCACAATGTATAATACCAGTACTGACACCATTCAAGCCTCTAACTTCAAAAGAATTTGGTCTAAGTTTATCAGTACCAAATATGTATCTTGTTACATATGCCATCATTAAAGGCACTGTGATAATATCCACCCAATGGGTTTGAACTGGTTCTTGGTCCATTTCAGAACAAATAGAACTTGGTCTACTACTAGTACTATTTGATGTTATACGGAAACTTTCATCTGAGGCTTCTTTTTCACTGTTACTATCTGTTTGTTGAGAATCTTTGTCATCTAAGGAAATATAATACCAAAGTTAGTCTTATATCTACAATTATAATACTAAATCTACCCTGACCTTGCTTTTGAAGAAATGGAGTCGCAGCTTTGTAATGTTTTACAGTTAGAACTACCAAATCCCCAGCATTTCTTAAAATGTTTACAGCATCGTCATGGGGACAAGCAGTGATATATTCTCCATTCACTGCAGGAAATTTAAGTGACTTATATTTCTTGAATAAAATAAGCGTATTATTTACCTTTAATTATAGCGTCTCCAACAAAAAGATCGCCGGTTCTTTCTGCTGCTTGATTTTTATATATTTTGGATATTAGAATAGGAAGTTTATGTTCGGCACCTCCTTTAATGCTAAGACCTAACCCTCCAACTTTTTGTCTATGAATTTGTATCATTCTTTCCTAGAAGTGAATTCAAAATTGTAGATATTTATTGATAAAACTGATATAAAAATTACATTGTGCGAAAAAGGCGACGCCACTAGGATACGGCGAATTTGCGAGAATGATGAATTCTAGGATTTTCTGGTTTGAATGGTTCCGCATATAAAGCGAGTAGTTTCTAAGTCTGAGATTAGTGCAAACAAGACGCATAGGGTTAAGTAAATTCGATAAGTGATTAGTTAGTTTTGTATTGCCAATTAATTCAATTAAAGTTGTTATTGCAGGGGAAGAAAGAGAATTTTTAATGAACCCGCGGAATTCGTGACAATTTGGTAACTGCAGTGGGAAAATTATCGAGGCAATTGATGTATTATTTTTGTATCAATAGTGGAATAATTCGCGAAAACTAGTGTGATAGTTCGAGCTAATTAGGGAAAATAATTAGCAGGATAATTAGTAGATTGATTTGAGCTAAAAACTGGGAGTAACTGAACTTTTGTTGAGCTGAAGCATCAACCCAAGTAATACAAGAATAGTGATTTTATTACTGGATTTACCATCGGAAACCAAGCTCACAAGCGTGTTTTCTGAAACGTTACGGAAACTTCCATAGTGTTCTATATGGGAACCAAAAGTGATACTTAAAAAGTGACTCTGGTTTTGACATCGAACAACAAATCCACGACCATAAAGTGATTTTACTAGGATTAGCACAGTTCAATCTATTTATTTGAACACTAGACGAGAACCAGAACTTTAACCGCGACGCCGGGCTTTATAGTTATAATCAAGTTTCCACAGATACCTCCAGAGGATTCTATGATAAATACGCGACAAAAACAGCCGAAGTGCAGCAAGTTGATCAACTGTTCCAAGATAATAATTGAAGATATTGAACAAGAAGAGAAAGCCAGAGGGCAGAAAGAAAGGCAAGAAGCGAAAGCTCAGGAAACAGAAAGAAAACCAAGAAAAGGAATCTCGAAGACAGAAAGAAAAACAAAAAGAGGAAGACCGAAGAAAAAAAAATGCGAGAAAAAGAAGCCCGATGACGGAAGGAAACACAAGACGAAGAAGTCCGAAAAAAAAAATATGGCCGACCTACAGCACATTCACATCAACAAGAAGATTAGAGATCAGAAGAAAAATAAGAAGAGCAGGACCGGTTCCAGAGGAAAATTCGAAATTGACGCTTCAAAACAAGAAGTAGTACCCATGTGAAGAAGTTGGAATTATTCATCAGCAAGTTGGAACTGTTCGAAATGAATAGTGTTCCGAAGGAACTAAAAAATTGTAATGTGACTTGAAATTATAAAATGTCTGGTCTTCGCCTGTCTGCAGGCGATTTCGAAGCTAAACTAATTAGCAAAGTCTCTATTAGGGACTTTTCCGAATAAAACTATAGTGCGCTTGTTGATGCGTTTGACCGGCGATATAGGGATCAACACCAGCTTCAGCTTTACCAGGTGCAGGTAAGAACAAGATAACAGAAAGCTGTCGGAAGTTTACAAGAATTTGACGGTATATGGATGTACAGAGAATGCTGCTCATAACTAAACCATCAAGCAAAGCTGTAATTGAAGCCCTAGAAATCGAAGTTACCTATAAGTTATCCAAACCAAAGATAAGAGCTGTATCACAACAAGAAGAAAACTAACTGATACCAACAAATTAAAATTTTATAATATATTTTCAGATCTATTGTTTAGAGGCATATTTTGGATTTCAGAGATTTATATTTTTCACGCTTTATAACATGGTATAAGTTACCTGGATTTTATATAAGGGGTTTTCCAGCAGGACATCATCGGCTCTGTGTCATTTGCGCGACAGCCGTTTTCGCGAGGGAGAAAAGCGCGATACGAAAAGCGCGAGGGACAAAATCGCGACGGAATAAAAACGCGACAGGACAAAAGCGCGATGGCCAAAAACGCGACTGGACAAAAGCACGATTGACAAAAACGCGACTGGACAGAAGCGCGAGGAACAAAAGCGCAAGAGACAAATGCGCAACGGGACAAAAACGCGAGAGACAAATGCGCGACGGGACAAAAACGCGACTGGAATAAAGCGCGATGGACAAAAACAAGACTAGACAAAAGCGCGAAGAACAAAAGCGCGAAGAACAAAAGCGCGAGGGACAAAAGCGCGACGGAACAAAAACGCGACTGGAATATAGCGCGATGGACAAAAACGCGACTGGTGAGAAGCGCGATAAACGAAAGCGCGATGGAACAATAATGCAAATGAATAATAACCCGGTTGGTTTTCAATTTTAATCGGACATTTCCAAACTTACCCATAATAACCCGGCTAGTTCGCAATTTCAATCAGACATTTCCAAACTTACCAATAATATGCCGAAGTTTACAGTTTTAATCAGACATTACCTAACTTACCGATAGTAACCCGGTTAGTTTGCCATTTTAATCAGACATTTCCAAACTTACCCATAATAACCCGTAGTTTACAATTTTAATCAGGCATTACCAAACTTACCTATAATAACCCGGTTAGTTTGCCATTTTAATCAGACATTTCTAAACTTACCCATAATTACCTGGAGTTCACAATTTTAATCAGACATTACCAAACTTACCGTTAATAACCCGGTTGGTTTGGGTTAGTTTGCAGTTTCAGACACTACCAAACTTACCGATAATAACGGGCTAGTTGGAAATTTTAATCAGGCATTACCAAACTTACCGATAATAACCCGGTCAGTTTGAGTTAGTTTGCAATTTTAACCAGTCATTACCAAACCCACCGATAATAATCCGGCAGGGATTAGGGGGTGACCAAAGTTCAGTCGCGCGGGTTATTATCGGTAAGTTTGGAAATGTCTGAATAAAACGGCAAAGTAACCTGGTTATTATGGGTAAGTTTGGAAATGTCTGATTAAGATAAACTAACCGGGTTATTATTGGTAAGCTTGGAAATGTTTGATTAAAGTTGCAAACTAACCGGTTATTATTGGTAAGTTTGGAAATATCTGATAAACATTGCAAACTTACCAGGTTATTATGGGTAAGTTTGGAAATGTCTGATTAAAATTGCAAATTGACCGAGTGTTTATCGGTAGGTTTGATATTGTCTTTCAGTCCATTTGCATTTTGTCCCTCGCGTTTTTATCCAGTCGCGTTTTTGTCCATCGCGCTTTTGTCCAGTCGCGTTTTTATTCCGTCACGCTTTTGTCCCTCGCTTTTTTTCGCATCGCGCTTTTGTCCCTCGCGCTTTTGTTCCTCGCGCTTTTGTCCAGTCGCGATTTTGTCCATCGCGTTTTATTCCAGTCGCGTTTTTGTTCCATCGCGCTTTTCTCCCTCGCGCAAACGACAGTCGCGTAAATGACACAGAGCCGACATCATCACTATGATATACTGTAATGTATTTTTCAATGAATCATAAAAAAACTAAGTCCGCATTCGAAAAAGTTCAATTGATGATGATTTTAGAAGAAGACAATTTGAAATTTAAAGCCACCATCTTGTAGAGGAGAAAAAGTGACAACGTCAATGTGAAATTATTTTTACAAAATCTGTCTAAATAAAATCAGTAGAAAATAAGAAGTACGACGTATGCTTATTTTATTGTTGAATATTCGTTACCAATTGCTTATTGAAATTAAGTTGTCCTGAATTTTGGAGACCTGGCTTACCACGTTATTAAGGATAAATTAGAGATTTAAGAAAAAAATAGTCATAAATATTGAAAACTTATATAAAAAGTATACCAAAGTGAAGAAGCGACCGTGGTTGAATTGAAGGAAAGACTGCTACTTCTAGATCTTGTTCAAAGTTTCCGCCATTTTTTCAATCCATTTTTAACTGTCCTACTGCACTCTGCACTCAATGCAAATTCGATTGTTACGTCTCTGAAAGCCGAAGTAATTATTTGTCTCAACTCCTAAATACTATATTAACTCCATTGAAGTTAACTTAAGGGACTGAACCGCACAAAAAGTCTAGAAGCAAGTGAAATGGACTTTTGAAGGAGAGCGACAGAGAATAGGAGAAATTATGAACGTAAAACACACAAAAATAGTAGATGGTATCAAAGACAAACAACTAATTTGCTTTGAACATGAACAAAGAATCGCAGATACGAGAATATCCAAGCAAATTATTAAGTGGAAGCCAGGGGGAAGGAAAAGACGCGACAGACCAAAAAGAATCTGGAGGACCAAAGACCGGCGCGACCTGACATCAGCGTATAGTCCAGAGCAATTAGGGGTCAGGGGTAAACAAATTAGCTTAAAGCTGCTACCACCATTATTCGATAGCTTTTAGGTTCCCTATGAGCATACTAAAAGTCCCCATTGCTGTGATTGGTGGATGATTCCCAAATTTGGTCCGTCATCTTGATTTTTCGCACTTTTTCCTAGTTTGCTTTCCTAGTACCTACTATTTGAGTGCCAAGCGACGTGATTTTCAGTCGGGTCGAACTGCATGATGCGATCAGGTCATCCCAGCTCCATTACTATGAATGCGTGTATTAATGGGAAGGAGTAGTTCATGCAATAAAATTGCGATAAGCCTCATTTGCTACAGTGCATAAGCATGGGCTCGAAAGGATGGATCTGAATCTGAAGCCGAGAAGAAGCTGGAAAAGTGGAGTGGATGAGGAAATGGGAGACAGAATTTCGGAGTAGGATGCCTGGACTAACAGAAATGGTTGATGATCGCGAATCGGAAGACGTAGATTGTTATAGACCGATAATTATACAGGGTGTCAATTTGAAAACTTTCAATACGAATATCTCTGAGAGTAGAAAAGTTAGAAAAACGTAATTTGGTTCAAATGTTATACAGGTAGTGGGAACTAGAACCAGCATATGTTGGTTATGGGGTGAGTGACCCCTTGGACCCCATGCACCTCAACCCCAAAATTTTGAATGGCACCACCCGTTTTGTGATACCTAAAATTAAATATTTTTAAGTATAGTATTCACCTGTAATTTTTCAAAAAATATTTAATTTTAGGTATCATAAAAGGGGAAATGCCATTTAAAATATTGGGGTTGGGGTGGGGTCCAAGAGGTCATTATAACCAAAAAATATGGTAGTTCTAGTTCCCCCTACCTGTATAAAATTTGTACCAAATAACGTTTTTCTAACTTTTTTACTTTCAGAGATATTGGCATTGAAAGTTTTCAAATTGATACCGTGTATATTAGATAACATTATGGGTCTTAGTTAGTTTGACAGGGTGAAGGTTCATTAGTTGGTAGGTAGGTACCTACAAATGCTTTTAAAAAAAATCCCCTAAATCTCTATAAGCTTGAACACCTATTTTGGTATGACAGTTCCTTCTGTCACTCAGGATCATTCCAAACTGTGACGGTCTAAACTCCACATGTAATGTAATAAATGAACTTTTGAATAAGGTCAATTGTTTTGAAACTTTCCTCATCTTAAAACTTAAGAAGATTATAGACTAAAAAATTTTATATAAATAAATGGGTATGTTATGGTATTGTTATATGAACTTTAACAATTTTTATCTCATTTTATGCCAGACTTTCATGAGGTACATTTTTCTAAAGACTTTTTTTTTGAAACTGTGTTATGTGCGGCTAAAATTTTTCGCGACAACTTGGACATCCTGTATACCTACCTACTTTAATAAATTTGAGATCAATAATTTCTTAGATAGTCATAAAATGTTTCCCTGGATTTTATTTTTAGATCCATTGGTATCAAAAAGAAATTTGCAATTTGGTATGTCTAATTCATAGACTGATTGCCTCTGAACATGATTGGAAAAGATCAAAGCTGTTAAAATACTAACTGAATACTAAATATAACTGATTAATCGATACGGTTAGTGTGTCAGGTTATATTTACCTTTGAGTTTAATGGCTTGGATTCTAATGGTATTGGCTCTTCTTTTTGTAGCCTAAGAACTTCCATTGATAACTGCAGTTGAACTGGAGTTGCTCTACTCTTGCCATCACTAACAGTCACCATTCCAGTCCGGACTTTCAATTTTTGATCCACTTTTTCTTCTATAGGAGTGCTCATTCTAATTGCGTTTATTTTCATTTTGTTAACTGCAAACAAAAATATTATTATCGCCAAATTAATTCTAAAGGAAAAATAAGGCACACAGGTGAATTGTGAATTGATTTACTTATGCAATAGAAATTCTTACCTTATATGGTATATCTCTATCACTTGCCAAATTTCCACCATTCCTACATAAATTGTAAATTGAATTTGTTTGTAATAAATTTTTTTGCAATGTAAAAAATATTCTTGCGAATGTGAGCAGCCATTTTTAAAAACCCTAGAGGACCAACCACCAAACAAAACAAATCGAGAAGTTCCCGAATCCGGATTCCAGAATTCAGCCTGCAACACTGCCACTGGCTCAAAACGGCATTCACGTCTGGGAGCTACGAGCCCCCACAACCGGATATGAATAAAGGAACGCAATGGAAAGAGAAAGCAAATCGACTTCAGTGTGCAGTTTGATTAGAGGCGAGGGGAGTATATGACAGCCATTCCCCTATTTTCATCCCCTTTCCAGGGTTGGATTTATGGGGGTCGAAAGAAAATTTCATTCCCGACATCTGGGAATTCCGACAAATAAAACGTTTCAGGAATTTCAATAGCTTTCGATATAAATTTTTAATTTATATATAGCTAATTCGAGATTTGAGGTTTCATTATAAATTTATAATTTATTAAATTGAAAAACTAGTCCATGACTCAAAGTGGAGTTAAAATTTTGAATACAAAAAAAAAACACAAAGTCTTCCTCTACAAAATTTTAATAATTGAAAATTAATGAGCCCTACATGTTTCGAAGCTATAGAGCTTCATCATCAGGGGCAAGTTTGCTCAATAATATATATAAGGTTTACATCATTTATTTGAAATTCCTGAATTTAACATTTGGTAGAAAAAAAACAGAAAGTTAAAAAAATACATCTACATTTAAACACAGGACATTTAATTTAAACAGGTAGATACTAGTTGAAAATTGTAAAAACATAAAAACGTAAAACATGAATTAACACAAATAAACTTTTCGTAGATTTTAATTTTGATTTTATATAGATTTGGGAAACCACATCATATTAGTTAATCAGGAATCTACAAAATGGCAGTCAAAAAGTTGAAATCGATTGGAATTTTAACTTTTTGACTGTAGATTCCTCACCAGTACTTAATTAAATGTGTGTTTTTTTTTGTTTTAATAATTTATTGCTATTTTAAGATTTGGGCTATTGATTCTCAGACCTAAAATAGTCGAAGAGAAAAAGAAAAAAAAAAAAATATAAAGCTTTGCCACTTGGCAATTTGCCCGACTTTTTATCTTGATTATGCAGGATTGTGCCTAATCCCTAATATCCTAGAGTTGCCATTGCCGCGAGAAAAAAATATTATATGGCAGGGAAACTATAAGTGTCACTAGTACCTACCTCATCATTTTTGACATTTAAAAGCAAGCAAAGTTGTTGTATGACATCAAACATACTCCAGCATAGATACCTACCCCTAATCTAGATTATGCTTGATCATAGTTGCGGCAAATTTTGTATCAGGCATCAGTGGAAGAGCTTTCAACCTTCATAACCTAAACTAACCCATTGACCTAAATATGCTTTTTGCCAGTCCTCGTAATGCATGTTACTCCTTGTAATATTATTCAGTTTTTCTCATGTAACACTAAGTAAACAGTTTGCACTCTCGCATCCGCGCGATTTTTTGTATCCAATAGTTTTGTCCTACTCTATAATATTTATGACTTTTTTTTTCTGCCATGAGGTAGAACTATCGTCTTTTTGTTTTAAGAGCGTTCCACAAGAGGCCTACTACACTAAGCTCACTTTCATCTACATACTATCACAGTTTTATATAAGTATTTTAACAACTTTGCCCACGACAAGTTCTGCTCATAGTTGTGCAACGCAATCCAGAATTTAGCTTCAACGCGTCCTCATCTTTTCACGAAAACTTATTGTGGATATGTCATTGGTGAAAATCTTCTTGAGCTTTTCTATTTCTATTATATATGTATGTCTCTGACCCACCAACGTTTCTATATTGTTTTCTAATCTCACGTCTTCTTTCTCAATGAAATGTAAGAAACAAATGCGTCCTCCTTATTTTTTTAGGTATTACCTAAAGTATCCAAACATAAACTCGTGCAATTCATGGTTTACAGAATCTAACTTGAAATCTAGAAAATACTGCTTTATCCGGGCAAAGGAACTATCGCGTTTATTCTGGATTTTGCAAGAATAGATTACGGATATTCAAAGGCCGGTATAGTTAGTAGTTTTTAAGTTTAAGATTAGCTGTGATACGTTTTAGATAGTGATTATTGTGAAAGTTGTAAAGAGTTGTTTGAGTTAATTCGTGAAGTAATTAGTGTGTATTAGTAACGTGGAATAAATTATTGTTGTATTAATTGGACTTCGATTTTGGAATAAACGAACCCAAGATTTCTGTCACGCACCCCAGAGACGTGACAATATAGTACCAATTTAAAAATAATGAATAGTAATAACGAGTGCAATGGAAATTATCGATAATTTTTGGGAAATTGGCTCGAATGCATTTTTAGTTGAAAAAGAGCCCGTAGTGCACGAGTGCCTTTTTCATCAGTTAAAAACGCATGAGTGTAAATCAGGGCCGGCTTAAGGGGGGGGGGCGAAGTGGGCGGCCGCCCAGGGCGGCACGATCCAGGGGCGGCAAATTCGCAACATACAACAACAACAAAAATAGGGAATAAAACCAAACGACTTAAAAAAAAAAAAATGGTGTCCAAATTTTAAACTTTTGAATATTTTCAGTCACAAGCCACAATCTATATGTAGGGCCCCCCCCAAACATATTTTCTGGGTGCGCTACTGCCAGGGCTTGTATTCCGTCACCGGGGAACAGCGTTCTCTCAAGAGAACGATTGCTCTGTATTTTTCAGTATTATGGAAATAACAATATGGGTGACTAAGACAGAGCAATCGTTTTTTTGAGAGAACGCTGTTCCTGGCAACGAGAATACGGCCCCTGATCGTTGCAAGTGGTGAAAGAAGTTTCTCTGAATTAAAATTAATAAAAACATACTAAGATACTAAGTTTAAGCGGTTAGCAATGCGTTTAATTCAACCCCATTATCTATGCGCCCCTGACATTCTTCTTAAAGGGGGCGTGACCCAAAAAAAAAACAACTTAGGCTACTTAAAGGGGGTGGTGTGACCCTAAAAAACGACTTGCTCTACCGCTCAAACATATTTTCAATATTTCTATTGGAAGTGGACAATTTCCTGATGCCTTGAAGAATGCTCAGATTACGCTCATTTTCAAGAAAGGACGAAATTAGGAACTATAGACCGATTTGCCTCATTAATATTTTAGCAAAAATTTTTGAAACAATACTTTATGATGATCTTTCAGACTTTCTAAAACCTAAAATTTCTAAATACCAGCATGGATTCTTAAATGATAAGTCAACAATAACAAACCTCTCTATATTCTTGGCAATGGCGGCTGAGGCGATCGCGAATAAGAGCCAGTTGGATGTCATTTACACAGATTGTGAGAAGGCTTTTGATAGAGTGGACCATGTGTTGCTGCTTTGCAAGCTTGCTGAGTTTGGGGTGTCAGAGGATGCTTACCATCTTGTGAGGTCATACCTCATAGGCAGGGTCCAGACAGTAAGGGTCGGCGCTTGCAACTCTGAGGCGTTTGTTGCAACCTCAGGTGTCCCGCAGGGTCAGGGCCGTAGCGATATGACTATCCCTAGGGGGGGAGACTGAGATTCGGTGCCCCCTAAGCGCAGCGAAGGCAATTCAAAAGCGAGAAAAAATTAACTTTTTTGCAACTTTGGCAGACTATAAAACCTTAACGGTTAATTTTAGAATTTAGAGCAATCATTTGACACCAATTTTGAATTTAAACCATATGATTGAAAATTCCTTATAGCCTAACATAGTTGCAAAAAAGTCAATTTTCAACTATCAATATTTCCAAAACAGAGTTGAACCGAGGTATAGGAATGAGTATAGGGTATAGATATCACATGAGATGTGCTAAGAATTTCACCACAGCATATCATATACAAAAACAAACTGCAGGTTAACTCTCACGCACACCTCTTCTGCGCAAGCTGCCATTCGAGAATACAGCCTATCACGGCTACGGCAGAATCACATGATTTAAGGCGTATCTCTTCTGCGCATGCCGTCATTTGAGGCTACAAATCTCGAGTTAGCCTGCTGATTGTTTTTGTATACTCATGCTATGATTTTATGTAGAATCCGAATACTCAATAATATACTAATATACACGGTATTCCATTTAAAATAAGAGAGTTGCAAGTTAAACCACGACCAGCTTTTCTGAAACAACCTTTATATGCAAAAGTAGTTTCTAAAAAAAAAAATTGTTTCAACCATAAAACTTTTATTTGAGACACTTCTTTCCAAAATTTCAAATAAAAAATATGTGTGACATTTATAACCAATAACCCTGTATTTCACAACGTCACTTTTCTTTTTCTTTTCCATTTTGATCTTTCAGTTTAACTAGGTGTTTCCTCACTTCTGTTTCCGGCTTAGGTTCCGAATTCCGATAAACATTTTATTTCTTTAAATTGTTTCCTTTGTCTACCTATCGATGAAGGCCAGTTTTGGAGAAATAGTTATTGATAATTTCCTTTGTATTATTTGAATAAACAAATGTGCGCCAGCAGAATTCGGTTAGTTCGACGTTGTCAGATTGCACGAAAGGAACCCATTCAGGTATTCCTTGCCTTCCTAAGTGTTACTTCTTTCATTAACTTCTGATACCCTATTGTGTGTCTTACTTGTTTTGTTCACTATTGTCTCCATGTTATATAAGTGCACCTCACCTACGTCACCGAGAGCTGAGTCGGTGGTTGGGTTCGGTAATTGGGGTAATTGCATCTGCGGGCAAAAAGAGTGAAATTTGACGGACGTCACGTGATCACTTATCCACCACTTATCTTTTTTCACGTGTCATATCACGTGACATCTGTCAAATTTTGCTCGCAGATGCAATTCCAATTGACCTTTTGTTTGGACGCCATATTGCGGTGCGCGAACATAGTTGCCAAAAGAAGATAACAAAAATTACTAGCAGGCTGTCAACATTAAAAACAAAAGTAACTAAATGATTGATCCTCGCTATCCTTATTATTTCTATTCTGACCAATACAAGCTAAAATTGATGGCTTTTCTTTTCAAAAATATTCGTAATAGGCGGCAAATTTAAATTTTAAATGTAATTTATTCAGTATTTTTTGTTTTTAATGTTACTGTCAACAACGCTAGTATTTTTTTCCTACTTTTGACAACTATGTTCACGCACCGCAATATGGCCTCCAAACAAAAGGTCAATTGACCTTTTCAATTTAAAAGCCTCTCTCTCTGGCAT